ATTTTGTATTTTAGCTTTTCTGCTGTTAAGTAGAGTGTGTTCATTGCCTTCGCACTTACTGATTGAGGACGAAGGAATTACCTCACTGCCCAAAGAAAGCAGGAAATAGTCAGTACTCAGTAGTACGTGTTTATGTCGTTTTGCCTGCTAGTTGCCAGGTTCTTAACCAGGTGTTATTTTTAGGAACGAAGGTTTGTGAAATACAGTCGCACGTATTAAGGAAACGCCGATTTTTGGAAAGAGCAGCTAAATTCGGACATTCGTATCAGACGTTAACATAATAAACATAATTAAATATGTAGACCACGCGAGCGAGTATCGGTTGATTAAAAAAATATGTATAATTACTCACGATAGGTTCCGCTTTCAGGGGTAGCTCCTTCTTCAAAGCAAGTTAGTTCTTTTTTATCTCTCCTTGATCCAATTTTTTTTACAGTGATTATTTTATGTACATTAGCAATGAGGCTGTCTGCATTGTTCGACTACCTCGACAATGCCGGTAGCTAGATCAACGGCGCTTCATTGGCAAGCTAAAACGGCAAGAACCGGCAAATATCAGTTTGGACGAACTCCCTTAGTCTTTTTCGTCAAATATTGCGAGCCACAATATTAAGGTGGGTTTTTTGTTTATTTATAGGCTCTTAATTTTCGCATAGCAATTCCCGCATTCTTGTACGCCAACGATTTTGAATCCGAGCCCGCCGCAATCTTGCCGGAGGACACGCAAAAAGACCACGCCGCCCCAGCTCATCTGACGTCACGCGCCTCAGGAGATAGGGAAACCGAACGCATCGCTCCTGCGGGGTTCCCTTCTCTCCTCGGTGCCGCGGCCTCGCCAACCTCTCCAACTCGGCGCGAGGACCGCTCCATCGCCATGCGTCCCGAGAGAACGACGAACGAGGTACCAGAGCCAAGCACAGATATCGGCCGAACATCTGGACCCCACATACTGTCATCAAACAGTTTTCACTACCTCGCCTCCGAAGAAGCCATCGAGATAACTGCGCCGACCAAACATACTTCGCCAGGTGAGCGTGAACCATCCAAGCGCGCACCTGCCGATTTCCTAACGCAGGACGGCTTCAGGCTAGTAAGCTACCGCCAATCGCAAAGGGCAATCGAAACCAGCGAAAATCAAAGGGAGAGACTGTACACCGTGCTTTTTCGACCCTCGCTCGCAAAAGTACAATTACAACCATCAAACAAAAGCAAAATCACACAAGAAATCAGGAGCAGGTTCAACCGATATGTCATTCCAAACATTCGCCTCAACCCTACAAAAAACATCATAGCGGTTGACACACCTTACGTTGAAACGAGAGACAAGCTTCTGCTAATTACCAAACCGGACAAAATTGAGGTCTATGCTTTTCCTGCCATCCCAGAAAATGCCTCCGTGGGAACGGTGCACCAAATAATCGGCGAACAATCCCTGCAAGCCGTTCGAACCTTGCTACAGTCGCGACACACCATCCTGGACATCACACGGAAAGGACAGGGCACATCGGTGTCGGTTGTCTTTCAGGGCCCAAATGCTCCTGACCACGTAACTTTGGGTTCACAGTGGTACAGAGTTTACCCGAGCAGGGGACGCGAACCCAAGCGCCAGGTGTCCTACAACTACGATCAGCAGTCTACCATAGAAGAGCCCCCGCTTGCTCCGACATCCCGAAGACAGTCGCAGGAGGAAAACAACATACGAACGTGGAGTCCCACCTTTGCACCAGCGCTCTCCGCCGGCCGACGCGATAAATCCACAGCTGCCACACAACCAAGGCTGCCCGCGGAGCGCGCCGCGCGCAACATCAGTCTTCGGCGCAAGGACGCCACAACAATCCAACGCCGAAGGGGAAGATCACTTTCCAAGCGTCAGTTTACTTGGATTCGGGGAGACAAGGACGCCCCGGGGCAGCCACCATCGTTGAACAAAGGACACAGTCAGCACTCCAAGCGCAGCAGCCTACGCGGAAGTACGGCAGCCAAAGGACACAATATACGTGGAAAATCCGTGCCGTCACCTCGCGAGCGGTCCCAACTGCGAAGAGGAATGACAGGGGGCCGACACATCGAGCCCTTCGGCTTGCCGGAACTGCCCATCTGTGGAGCAAACTTAGCATCGCACCGCGACCTACTCTGTGGCGACGTGGACATGCGCCGAACAGACTCGGTTGGACGGACCTCGGAAATCTCGCGGCGCGGCGGAGGCACACGAGAAAAAAGCCGAAGCCGCTCCACAAACAGGTCCAACTTAAACGAACAAGACGGCTCCAAAAAGAACCACGACGAAAGCAGACATCCGAGGAGAACAACCGGCCTTCCCTTCAAAGCGGCAAGTGGTCCCCACCCCATCCCCCAACACGCCTCCAAACAGGCCGACTCTAACTGGTCTTCCCCTGGCGTCTATCCGAGTGAGGGGGACCCGCCCTCCCCCACACCGAAACATCAGCCCTCCGCTGCTCCTCTTCCCCTCTTCCCTTTACCCCCGAGAGCGGACGCGACGGGGGCGCTGCCAACACCACGGAAGGACGCTCCTGCTGCTGCGCCTCCTCTATTCTCCACCATGTCGAGTATGGCTGCAACCTCCGCGCCACCAACGCAATGCAAATGCGGACACCCTGAAAATCAGAGCGAATTGGCGCTGCAAAATTACCACCAACAGTGCATCGTGACAGAAATGATTCTGCATCACAACTTAATTCCACTGGTAAGAGAACTACTCCAACAGCTCCTAGGGAGCCAAACTTTCGTGGGACGCTACCATGGCGAACACCAACCCACAATCTCAGACGCAACCCGGGACGACCCAGGAGAGGGCAGCGTGGTTTCTCCAATGGAATTGCAGAACCTTCGCCCGCAAGAAGGCAGAGTTTCTTCTCCGCTACCCAGCAGGGACAAGACCAGTAGTGCTGCTTCTGCAGGAGGCCCAGGATCCGAACCTCTCGCTGCCCGGCTACGACACGTATACGCGACCCACCATCCCGCATCGCCAACGAACGCCGAACGGTCCGGGCGGCAAAGCGCCGCCGCACGGCGTCATTTACAGGGGCAACGCGGCGGTCCTAGTGGCTGCCCGCATCCCGCACGACGAGCTGGACCTCCAGCGCTGGTGCACGCAGCATCAAGAGGTCGTGGGTGTGGCCCTCCAACTCCCCCAATGTAAGGTCGTGGTGGTGTCAATATACGTCCGACCGTCGATCCGCAACAGCGTCACCATTGGCTGGTCCTGGGTCGAAGACCTGCGGAAAATGCACCCCGATGCCCTGGTTGTCATCGGCGGCGACTTCAACACACGCCACACGTGCTGGGGATCGAGCACCGACACATACCACGGTTCGAACCTCGTTTCCGCAATGGAGGACAACCACCTTAGCCTGCTCAACGATCCGGACTTACCAACGCGAGTTGGCCAGCACGCCCGCCAGGGCGACACCACGACCGACCTCACATGGACGAACCGGCGGCGGGCCCTCTTCTGGGAACTAGGAGCAGACACGTGGGGGAGCGACCACCTGCCCATCTTCATTCGTTTGCGCGGCCACAAGATAACGGCGCCGAAACGAACTACGAGCGTCGTCTGCTGGGACGCATTCCGCGCAGAGCTGGAGCAAACACCCGTAACCACACCAGGCGATGACCCGGAAACGCACGAACTGGCCCACCTTCTACGGACAATACACGAAGCCAAAAGGTCATCTACCCAGCACTTTCAAGTGGCGGAGGACAAGCCGTCGCCGGACTTGCACCTGGCTAACCTATGGAAACAACGCCTCGACGCGCTGTGTGCGTACAGAGAGAGAGGACGAACGCCCGGACTGCGATGCCGTCTGAACCTTATAACGACTGAGGCGCGCGATTACGCAAATACACTCTCTACAGACAGATGGTGCGACCTTTGCTCCAGCTTCAACGGTAACATGAGCGGACCGCGCATATGGCACATCTTTCGCAATTGGCAGGGCAAAGCCAAGAGACGCACCGCGGCGCAGATAGCGGCTCTACGCATGCGAATCTCGGAGGAGCAGCTGGCGCTCCAGGCTGGGGCAGTTTTCTTCCCTCAGCCTGCGGCTTCACCGGATCCCACCATATACTCCCGAGACTCCGCGACACCGTCCCAGATGATCGGAGATTTCCAGGCATTGGATCTCCAAACACCGGAGCAGGTCGGCATGGACCAACCGTTTCAAATGGGCGAACTTCACGCAGCTTTAGCAAGGGCGAACGCCCGCGGCGCACCTGGCCCAGACCTGATAACCATCTCAGAATTGCGCAACCTCCCTGAACTCCACCTCCAGCTTCTCCTTGACGCGATCAACGAAATTTGGACGACGGGCAACTTCCCGAGCTCCTGGCGCGAATCCCTGGTGATACCGATCCCAAAACCGGGCAAGCCACCGAATGAGCTCACTAACCTCCGGCCCATTTCCCTTACCAGCAACCTGTGTAAACTCACTGAACGTATGGTCCTCGAGCGACTAATGCGGCATTTCGAGAGGAACTACCCTCTCCACCCACATCAACTAGGATTCCGCCACGGGATGAGCACGCAAGACATTCTCCTTATGTTGCGCCACCAGGTCCTTGACGCCTACTCGAAAGTGCAGACGAGAACGGTGGTGGCGGTGGACGTTCGCAAGGCCTTCGACACCGTCCCTCACGAGGCGGTCATCCAGAGCGCAGAGATTGCCGGAGTGTGCGGCCACCTTCTCAATTTCGTTAAGAGTTTCCTGAACGACAGAACGTACAAGATCAAAGCCGGGGACTACATTGGACCCGCTCAACCAAACAGGACCGGGGTACCGCAGGGCGCGGTCCTCTCGCCCACCCTCTTCAACCTGGTCATGGCAAGACTTCCCCCACTCCTTGAAGCGGTTCCGTCGCTGCAATTCGCCGTATACGCCGATGATGTCACCATCTGGGCAACGACGGGATCGGCGGGCGAACAGGAGCACACGCTACAACTTGGCCTCGACGTCATACAGGGCTTTCTTCGGAAGGTGGGCATGACCGCCTCGGCCGAGAAGACCGAATACGTCGTGGTTTTAAACGGGCCCCACAGAAAGACCGAGGCGGTCCGCAACCAAATCGCCCTCAGCATGGCCGGCCAAAGGATACAGCGAAAACCCTCCGTTCGGATCCTGGGAGCCTACATAGATCAAGATGGCAAAGGCACCACGTGGGTGACGAAAGTCGCCTTGCAGTGCAGATCCCTCCTCCGCCTCATCCGTAGAATCACACACCTCCAGTGGGGCACGCGGGAGAGAGAAACGCGCCAGCTTGTCACGGCGCTGCTTGAATCCCGTATCCTCTACGGCTATAACTATCACGTCCTCACGCCCAGGCAGGCGGAGCAACTCGAGAAACTCAATCGCGAAGCCATCCGCATTGTTACCGGACTGCCTAAGTATACGCCCCTCCGGGAGCTGTACGCACACGGCGGCATGAACCTCCTGTCGGAACTCGCCGAACAGGCGCTCCTCGCCCAGAGAGACCGCCTCAGCAGCTCGACAGCTGGGCTTTCCATATTGGAAGAGCTTGGCGTGCCTCCCAGTCTGGACGTCCGCCCGGCAGACGCGCACTCGCCCCCTCCGTGGGCCGCCCCGGTTACGCTTACCGACGGAAAACCCCTCCCACGAAACATGGGACCTGGAACGAGCAACTCGGAGCGACGCAAACGCTTTGCCAAAGCGCACACACGTAGCGTCGCGCACAAATCACCGCCTACGCACACCATCATCTACACTGACATGGCGGAGACCTTGCTGTCGACTACCGGCGACGACGGGGAAGGAGAGGACAGAACCCCCAAGCACGTCCAGGCGGTCGCGTGGGTCGACACCACCCATGGCATTCCGAACGCGGCTGCGCTTTCGACCACTGAAGACGTCGACACTACGCAAGCGGAACTCATGGCACTTCTCCGAGCATCCCAGTGGGTTCTTCAAACTTTTGCACCAACAGACATCCCACACAGGCTCCTACTGTTCACCGACTCGACTCGCGCGTACGAAACTTGCAGACGAGCGAGCGGGAGCCCCTCAATGTACACGGGAATAGTCGGCGAGTTGCTCGCCGCGTTCCTAGAACTTCGAAACAAGCTCAACATCCAAGCTACTATTTCCTGGGTGCCCGCGCATGCGGGCATTGACGGCAATGAGTGGGCCCACAGCGAGGCGCGAGCAGCAGTTCGCCAGATGGCATCCGCGCCGAACGCATTCCACAACTCAGCCGGCGAGGCGGCCGGCCCGGCCGACCCGTCTGTCGTCAAGGAAAGTGCTAAACAGCGAAGGCGGAGAATCCTACGGCACTTTCGTGAGGAGCGGGAGGAACGCCCGGACGAGCAGTTGCGTCCCGTTCCTCCGATGCCGAATGACCTACCGAGGAGCACTCAGTCCCTCGTCCGCCGCCTCGCGACCAACACTGTCCTATCCCCGGCGCTGCGCCATAAGTTCTTCGGCGACGATCCTGACGAGGGGGCGTGTCGCCGGTGCCGGAGTGCCGCGACGGCTGCCCATGTTGTCTGGGAGTGCGAGCGCCACGCTAGCCTTCGGAAAACAAAACTGGAGGAACTCCCAGACGAGATCCGTCCGGCGACGTATGTTGATTGGATTCTACCCACCAGTCGTGACAAGACGATCGTCTCCCTGCTGTGGACAAAGCTGGCGGAGTTCGTCTACGACGACGACGGCCCCGGTGGACGACTTTGCAGCAGCCGAAGGCGCTGGGACCAACACCCACCCAGACCGCCATGACGGCAACGGCAGATCCTTAGGCCCGCACCGATGCAGACGACAATGGTGCATTATATGTGTGTATGGTATATGTGTGTGTATATGTGTATGTATATATAATATATGTATACATATATTATATATAACAGGGCAATAAAGAACGTTCTAACAACAACAACAACATACCGCACTTGAACGCCTTTCCTTAGTACTACGAATATATAGCATTTGGAAGGTGAAAAGCGCGGGCTTGAACCTTTAGGATACTCCACCTCTGACCAATCTTCAGATAAAAACAACCTTTTTTGGAGGCTATCACCTTACATGTGTAGCTATTGCGGCATTCCAACATAAGAAAAAGCACAGAGTACTTGAAATTTTCCACAGCAATGTGTAAAATACACTCAACATATATATAGTGTATATTTTCTGTCTTTCGGCGGTTTCGTGAACTTTAGTGAACTGTAATGGATCCGATGAAGGACGGTTCATTCATCGTGATATTCTCAGTTATTATAATATAATATATATAATATGATATAATATAATATATTATAATATATATATATAGTTTTCCCAAGTTTCAGAACTTTCTCGTCTCTTCGAGTTATGAATGTTCTACGCGTTGTACGTTCTGGGCCGAATGTTCCAGGAACTTGAGACAAGCGGTGACCAAATTCAAAGACTCGCGTTGCTAAAGATCTGACGCTGTCTGGAAGGAAACGGCACCAAAGGCATCGATCTGCTCTTCAATAAATCTTAAGATGCTTTCCTGGGGCAAGGCAAGGTAATACATGCATGCATAAGTTATCTCATAGCCTTCAGAGGGCAGCGAATAAAGTTAACGTAGATGTAGTCTTTTCAGTCCCAAAAAAGCTGCATGTGTTAAAAGGTAAATTTGACTTCAAGTAACACTAAGTATCACCAAAAAGCACCGAACTAACTTTGTTCACTGTGTATGTGTAATTTATTCCTTCCCACTTTCCTGCGGGTGAGTGTACATAGGACAGACTGGTCGGTGTCTGAATGACCGCCTTCGTGAGCATGCCGACAACGTTGTCAACGACAACTCTGGACATTTGGGACTACACTGCAGGGACTTGGGTGTTCGGCTCGTGTGAGCAACTGCACTGTGCTGGGAAGGAGCTCCAATCAGCTCACCAGGGAGATTATCGAGGCAGCAAGCATCGAAGGACACATTGACAAGCATGTCAGCAGGGCTTCTTCAACTCTCTCACTAAGGGAGCTTGAGTATTTGACCAAAAGTTTTCTTAGGCATCAGCAGTGAGAATTCTTATTATCCTTCACTTTTATTTTTAATGTGTATTTTCTATTATTTCTAAATTCTGCCTTTTTATTTTTATTTTTGTATTTCGCATCTGAGGTCATAATCTTGTTCTTAGAACATAGAAAACGAGGAGGTGGGTCATTGTGCATAGAAGAGGAAGACAATAGAAATCCATGAGTTTTGAGTCAGCACCGATTGAGTACATTTTGTTTAGTGTCTGTGTTTATGAGTGTTTCTCTTGTGCGGGATTCGTCTTCTTCTAATTGCTGAGGGCAGACGTATTTTCTTAGCGCTCCGCCAAATGCGATATCTGTATCCTGTTTGGGGGGTGCTAGCCCCCCGGACACAACTCCAATCAACGAGGACAATGCCACAGACCACCAAGGGAGCCCCCGTCCAGCAACTTTGAACCCCACGGGGTCAATTTCGGTGAATTTGGAAGTTGAGAACATGGATACCGTGATAAGCCTAACCTCTGGCACCGGCGGTCCCCAGACCTCAACAGATGTGACGCACCTGCCCACGCCCAACGTCGCGACCATCGATATCCAACTTGACACCGGACTTCTCATGCATTTGAAAATTGCCAAGGAAGACATCGGAAAGCTGATAACTGGACTTCTAGCCAATTACGCTCAAGGGGCGTTGAACCTAACCAGAAGCTCAAGTCCGCAGGGCGCCGCGAACGAAGAGGTGAGCTCTTGTTTTTTCTACGAGTTTCCGACGCTGAAAGAATTCCAAAATTTGGAAAAGCCCTCTTCTATGGAAAGCAAAGCTCAGCCTGATGGCACTGGTACTGTCATGATGGGGGGGACTACCAGAGACGACATCGAGCACCTAGTCGCGAATAAGCGCAGAAGGAAACGTCCGAAGTGGACAAATGTAGAATCGGACGACATAACAGCTGCGGAAAACACGCAGGAAACTCAGGCGTCCGTGCAAACCGTCGTTCTCATGTCCATCTGCAAAGAGAACGTTAAGAACTTTACAGCGAGGGAAATTAGGAGAGCCGTAGCAGAGGCGGGGATCGCAGAATCCGAAGACTACAGGATTCAAATTCAGCCCAGAGCTTATACTATCGCGCTCATCACCAGGGACGAAAAGATGACAGAAAAACTACTCCATGTGACGGAAGTGAAGAAGGGCAAAGATTCATACGCCCTGAAACCTTACAAGGCAATGGGCCACAATCAAGTGCGCGGGGTTATCTACCTGCATGGAGACAACAGCGCTGAAACCCCAGAAACACTCATCCCAGACCTGGTATGTCGAACCGCGAAGATCGTCTTCGTAAGAGTTATGGAAAAAACTAGCAACTCGGTCGTCATCACGTTCGAGGGCACTAGGCTACCAAAGAACGTAATGTTCAGCAGAGAGATCTTGACTGTGAGGCCGTACCGTCCCCGGCGCGTCGTATGTTACAATTCCAATGGAATCGGTCACAACAGCGATGTATGCCCTGTCAAAGAAAGCAGATGCGGCCATTGCGGCTACACATACGGGGAAGATATGGAACAATTCAGCAGGGAACCCAAGTGCCGAAACTGCGAGGGGCATCATGTCGCCACTACTAATGCTTGTCCGAAAAGGACGGTACCCGAGAAAACGAAACTCCGAAAGCTGCCACCTACAGACCAACCAAAAGACAGCAGTGCCGCGGCAGCCACGGGCAATCGAGGGCCACCTGCAGAACAGTTCAGGGCGAAGTCAAGCAAGGATCAACGCAAGGAATGATTCACGAAGTGCACGGCTGGTGCCTGGCCTGGATGCCCGAATGGGCCCAACCGAGGGCAACTCAGGTGCCGGCCACGCGACCGCTCAAATTACCCTTCGGCGCAGAAATTGAACACAACGAACTTCGAGAGGAGATGTCACTTGGGGCTTCAAGATGATATTCGAGACTCTAGGCGAAATCAAGAAAGGGATAGCAGAACTGAGACATGAGCGACGTTAGAAGAATGACGACCGGACGAACAAACACGGATGTGACCCGTATCGTACAATGCAACTGCAGAACGTTTAAGGCAAGAAGTGCGGAACTTAAACTGCGCTTTGAACGACAAGCGCCACCAGAACTTCTATTACTTCAAAAAACTAGAAGCCCGAACAAGACCCTACCCCGCTATAGCTTTTACTTAACGCCTATCATCGAGACCGTCCCAAGCCCCTGGGATAGGAACGCGGTGACTCGGAAGGGATGGGCGGCTAACGGAGTTCTTCGGCATCTAGCACAGGCGCAGCTTGACATCTCCGTGTTATGTTCTAGCGACAGGGACCTCGTCGCAGCAAGAGTCAGACATGGCGGGCTCAAGGTAGTACTCGCCTCTATAAACATCAGACCCAGAGCCAAACGAAAGGACGGAGAGACGGCAAGCTGGATCCGCGGCCTAGTTGAATTAGCCGACGGAGACACACTGATTGTGGCTGGGGACTTCAATGCCCTACACAAAAAATGGGGGTACGGAACAAATACAAAAAAGGGCAGGGAACTGCTGGAAGCCATGAGAAGGGAAGGCCTGGAGCTTCAAAATGAAACTGGAGTGAAGACGAGGCTTGCTAAGCAGCAGAGACCAGAAGGATACCACACCGGATCTCACGTGGACCACAGGGGACCTGACCTTCGAGTGGAAGCCATAGAGGGACACGTTGGGCAGTGACCACTACCCCACCGAGTTGAAGGTAGCACACTGCGCTACCTTCACCTGGTGGTTCGTCAAGTGGGATCGCTTCAAGTGGGATCGCTTCAAAGAGATTGGGACCCAAAATATAGGGAACGACAGGGGTATCGAGGTTTGCATACAAGAGGCACTCACGGGGTCGAAGACGCAAATCTCGGTGAAACGCGGGAGCAGCACGCCACACACGTCTGTTAAATCTTTGGGCTAGCCGGCTCCAAGCCCTACAGAAATACAGAAAAGTTAGAACGACACCGCAAAAAATTAAACTCAATATAGCCACAGCCAAAGCCACCAGGCATTCCAAGGAGCTCGGCAGGACGAGATGGAGGGCGCACTGCGGATCCTTCAATGAGAAGACCGGCCTAGTGAAGGCCTGGAGGACCTACAGAGGCATGGAGGGTAAAAGGCGCAAAATAAGGAATGCGGCACAAAACTTTGCCCTCCGACTAAACATAACCGAAGAAGAAATGGCAGTCAGGGCAGGCGAACTTTTCTTTCCACAGGTCAGCGCAGCACCGCTGAGGACTAGCGAAACATCCAAAAGTAGCCACACCCTTGAGGCACCGGCAGAACCTGGGATGGAGGACCAGCTTAATATGGGAAAACTGTCGGAAGCCTTATTTTTACGAAGGACAAGTGATGAGGCGGCAAATAACTGAAGGAACTAAACGTTTAATAGGGCGAACTTGTGCCCAAACATAAAAAGGAACCAAACGATAACAGCAGAGCGTCGCGGGCGTCGAAGTCGGGGAAAGAGCAGAGTCGAACGCTGGGGCGTTCGACTCTGCTACACGAACAGGCGTCGTCGCTTCCGTCGACAGCCTGTTCGTGGGGCAACATCGCGTCCAGCATTGTTGTTACTTTGCGACCATGAACCAGTTGGAAGGGTGTCACCCCGGTGGTCTCTTGCAGAGCCGTGTTGTAGGCAAATGTGACGTGCGGCAGCACCTCGTTCAATGTCTTGTGCTCCACGTCGACGTACATGAAGATCATGTCGGCGATGGTTTTCTTGAGTCTCTCCGTCAGCCCGTTGGTCTGCGGGTGGTACGCCGTTGTGCGCCGATGGCTGGTGTGGCTGAGACGAAGGATATCTTGCGTCAGCTGGGCCATGAATAACTGAAGGATCTAAACGTTT